GGAAACAGTGTGAAAGATGAAAAAAAGACCTCGCAACATAAAGCTGCAACGTACAATGACATCGTAATATATTTATGCACAGAGGTCGACAAAGCTGGTGGGGCAGGCAGAGCTTCTATTACGTATCAATTTGAGATAAGTTGGCCTGTCCAAGGCCAGCGGGGAGGCCAAATTCAAACAAACAACAATTGTTTGAGCCACCAGACTCTGCTTTCTGTCTGCCTTCAAGTTCTGCTGGTGCTCTCAATGGTGAATCCAAACAGCCATCATTAGAGGACATTCCGCCCAGTCCGTGCTCGATTTGAGAGCGCGAGACACGGATTAGTCCTTCACATAAGGCTGGCAGCTTTACCACGGCTGAAACTGCTGCCGGCGTCTTCCTAATTTGTCGATATCCAAGGTATCCACTGATTCCAAATAGCAGAAACCCTGTTATCATAAATCCAATAATGTGCACATCTTCTACGTCCTCCACGGACAGAACAGACAGACACACCATCTTCCACCAACTCCAGGGATCAATGACATGCCCAGCTGCGTGGGTCCGTTCAGGGCATGAGGGCTCTCCAGCACCCTGTCGTCTGGTGGAAAAAAATGATCAGTTGCGTTAAGGGACCAGCTGACCAAATCCATTACAATTTATGATTCAGAAGATGTGTATAGAGAGGCCCTGAGGTTGACAAAGAGAGAACAACAGTAGACAATCATAAAAAGCATACAAATTGAGACGAACTAATAAAGAAAATGGTATTAAAAGAACAAAACAAAAACAGCTAGGTTGTATATCAGTATTATACACACGTAGTTTTGCAGTTGACACTTTACACGTTGAAACTAACTGAGCTGCATCATTGCCGTACAACAGAGGCGTTTATCAGAAATGTGTTCTTATCAGAGACACCTGCTTCTGCTGATGCGTCACGCAGAGTTGTTCAGTTATAATCTGGTGTTCCTGCTGAAAACATAAAGGAATGAGAATAAATAAAGTGCACTGGTTGATCCACTATGACAAGGTGCTGCTTATAAGACTGAGCTCCTCAGACTGAAGAAGTCTTTTGGATAAGATATGAAACGTTTCAACAAAGAAGAATCCGTCCAGAGGACCTGACTCCACCTTGTTAGATACCACGTTTTTGTTGATGTCTTTATGTCAATATTAATTTGTCTCTTGACGTTGTGTGTGAGAACAACTTGATGATCGGCATCATCTGCAGCAGACCAGGGCAGGTTTAGGGCAGGGGGTTCTGAGTTAGGGGTTTTAATTTGACATGAACTGAATGACCTTTCAAAGTTTTACTTCTTCTGTAAGCCTCAATAATTTTGTGATTTCTTAGAATTTGTCGTAATTCTTTAAATTTCTCAGAGTTTTTTTCATTAATTTTTTTTTTTTTACATTTTTTGACTAATTGTACTGCAGAAAGAGAACAGGTTGTCACAAAAGTTAACGTGGAGCCACAACAGTTTGTGTTGTCAGTTTACCAGG